GAAAATGGATATGGTTGTAGAAGACCAAGCCGTTGTAGGCCAAACACCAACGCTCGGGGGGGGCTCGAACTCACACCTCATGTGGAGCCCGAAGAAGAAGAAAAAAGTTCCCACACTCTTCTCCGCCAACACAAGCATGTTGTCCACACCAAGATCTTAAAAAGGACAAAGCTTGGAGTGAAACATGAATGGCATCCTCCTATGGTTCCCAAGGTACATGGCATGGCCAATTTAAATGGTGGATCTGATCTCTCTATACTCAATTTTAAAAAGAGGAAAAGATTTGAGTGTTGAGAGAAAAATAACACTTGAGCAGCCAAGGGGCTTCATCCAAGTTGCCCGAATGATTTTCTTTGGTGTTATTCTTTTGTGCATTCTCTCCAGTACCCTTCTCCTTCTTTTCTCTTTCTTTCCTTTTTCTTTCTTCCTGTCTCTTTCTATATCTTTCTGTCCTGTCCTCTACTTTGCCCGAAAGGGCTATGTCTATATATGTATATATATATCATATACTATATTATAAAAAAAAAAAAAAAGAGGCACAATGAAAAACAGGTTGCTCGAAAGGGCTATATATATATATATATATATATATATATATATATATATATATTAGGGTAAAAGACTGTTTACTACCCTCATGTTTCATGGTTTTCAACATTTAGTACATCAAGTTTTTTTCGTCTCAGAGTCATACCTAAAGTGTAAATTTTGGGACAGTCTCATATATCCGTTAATCAAACTGTTAAATCTGCCATTAATTGTGACATGGCGTCCATGTGGATAATGACTGGGCGCCATGTGTTAGCCACGTTTTTTTTTTCTTCCTCATTCTCCTTCTCCTTCTTCTTCCTCTGAATCTGGGGAAGGATTTTTTTTTTCTTCTTCCTACTTCATCCTTCTTCCTTCTTCCTTCTCCTTCCTCCTTCTTCCTTCTTCCTTCTTCTTCCTCCGAATCTGCCCAGATTCGGTTTTTTTTCTTCTTCTTTCTTCTTCTTCCTCCTTCTTCCTCCTTCTTTCTCGTTCTTCCTTCCCCTTCTCCTTCTTCTTCTTCTTCCTCCTCCAAATTTGGGGAAGTTTTTTTTTTCTCCTTCTTCCTTCTTCCTTCTTCCTTCCTCTTCTTCTTCTTCTTCTTCTTCTTCTTCTTCTTCTTCTTCTTCCTCCGAATCTGCCCAGATTCGACTTTTTTTTTTCTTCTTTTTTCTTCTTCTTCCTCCAACTGCAACTTTTTCTTCTTCTTCTTCTTCTTTCTCCTTCTTCCTCCTTCTTCCTTCTTTTTCTCCTTCTTCCTTCCTCCTTCTTCCTTCCCCTCTTCTCCTTCTTCCTTCTTCCTTCTTCTTCATCTTCCTCAAAAAAAAAAAAAAAAAAAAAACCTTCATCTTCCTTAGATTCGGAGGAAGAAGAAGGAAGAAGGAGAAGAAGGGGAAGGAAGAAGGAAGAAGGAGGAAGGAGGAAGGGGGAAGGAAGAAGGAGAAGAAGAAGGAAGAAGAAAAGAAAAAAAAAACCGAATCTGGGCAGATTCGGGGGAAGAAGATGAAGGAGAAGGAAGAAAGAAGGAGGAAGGAGGAGGAAGAAGGAAAAAAAAAAGAAACTTTCCCAAATTCGGAGGAAGAAGAAGGAGAAGGAGAAGGGAGAAGGAAGAAGAAGGAAGAAGGAGAAGAAGGGGAAGGAAGAAGGAGAAGGAAGAAGAAAAAAAAAAGTTGCAGTTGGAGGAAGAAGAAGAAGAAGAAAGAAGAAGAAAAAAAAACGTGGCTGACACGTAGCGCTCAGTCATTGTTCACATGGGCACCACGTCACAATTAACGACACATTTAACAGTTTGATTAACAGATGTATGAGACTGTCCCAAAATTTACATTTTAGGTATGACTCTGAGACGAAAAAAACTTAATGTATTAAATGGTTGAAAACCACGAAACATGAGGATAGTAAACAGTCTTTTACCCTATATATTATATATGAAGAGAGGGAAATGGAAGTAATTTGCCCGAATGGGCTTACTATATATATATATATATATATATATATATATATAGTATATTATATTATAGTTTTGAAAAAGACAACAAAGAAAATATAAAAAATTAATTAAAATTTGGTTTGTTTTAACTCTCTCTCATTTTGCTTTTAAAAAATCTGGGTAATCTTTTTCATCTTGCCTGAGTAGGCATTTTTGTTGCCCGACTAAGAGCTTTCTTTTTGTTGTTTTGGTTCACCCAAAAGAGATTTGTCTTTATGTTCTTTATGTTTTACTGTTTTAGTAGCTTGGCAAGTCTCTTTTTATCTGTTTTTATTTCCACTTGCTCGAAGTGGCTCTCACTATCTTTCCTTTTCTTTCTCTCATTTCCCTTTCTTTTCCTTTCTTCCTTTCTCTTTCCTTTACTTTGCCCGAAAGGGCTCCCTATATATATTATATAGTATTATATTATAGTATATAAAGAAGGGCAACAGACTATATTATATAATATACTATATATAATATAGTCTGTTGCCCTTTCTGTCTCCATCTCAAGTCTGTCTTTCACTTGGCCCGAAAGGGCAACAGACTATATTATATTATATTTTGTTAAGTAAAAATAAATAAATAAATAAATAAATATATATATATATATATATATATATATATATATGTATAGATGGGCTGTTTTGTTGTTGGCCGAAAGGACTTTCTTCCTCTTTCTCTCTCTTATGTTCCTCTTTGCCTGAAAAGGCACCTCATTCTCACTTTTTTATTATTTCTTTCTCGTTCTTTTCTTTATTTTTTCCATTCTCTTGTCTCCTTGTCCCTTTCTTTCCCTCTTTCTTTCGACTTTCCCCAAAAGGTATATATATATATATATATATTATATTATACTAGATTATAGGAAAAAGAGACAAAGAGCAACACTTTCCCCGAATGGGCCCTCTACATATATATATATATATATATATATATATATATATATATATATATATATTTGTATTTATATATATTTGTATTTATATTATATTATATTATGTTACATATGAATAGAGGCAAAAAAGAAAAAGAACAATAAAAAGAAAAGTTACCCAAGTTTCTCTCTTCTCTATCTTTTTCTGTGTTTTCCAGTTTGCCCGACTTCGGGCATTTGTCTAGTTTATTATCTATGTAACCAGTGAGGTTGCTCTCATGTTTTTTGGTATCCACAAGAAGGAATACAAGCCAGACAGAAACATTCTTTCCAATACTAGTTGCACTACCAATTGCCTTACTCATCTTGCCAAGTTTATCAACGACAGAAGGACCGAAGAGGTAGACGTGCCTCTTCCTTTCTAGCAGCACTGGAGCCTCCAAGGCTTTTGGGAAGTCATAGCAAACAAAGTTGCCATTTGTGATCAAGTGTTCTTCATGCTCAAATGTCTCTTATGCCTGCTATATCATCAATCTTCTGGATGAGCTTATTGGAGTTGTAAGTTTCACAAACTTTGCTCAAATTTGTAAAACTTGGGGGGCACTGTTTGCACTCAAAATATACCAATTTTTACTTATTTGGGCAATTTGGGTAAAATATGGCATTTGGAGGATTAATGAGCAAGAAGACTAACTTGAAAGATATTTAGCTATCAAGTGGGATAGGTTGGCACTATAATATTGTTTCTCCCATTTGTTTTGGTGGTGGAGGTTTGCCAAGAGAGTTGTTTAATCAAGATAAGTGCATGCTTTTTCATGCAAGTGGATGGAAAGATACCATGCATGCTTTCGGGCAAGAATGGGTAGTGAAAGAAGCTAGTTTGATTCTTTTAATTATTTTATTGCAAGTGGGAAAAGACATGTGGTGGAGATGCAACTTGCTTCTTTTTTAATTGTTAGTTTATTACAAGTGGGGAGACATGTGCTAAAAACATGTGGTGGAGATGCAAGTTTCCCTTTTAAAATAACATGCAAGTTGGCAAATGCAATGCAAGCTGCCCAAGCTTCTTTCGGACCTCTTCCAGACCTCTATATAAAGAAGCAGATGGAGAAGGATTTGAGAAGGATTCAAACCAACCAAACAAACAAATACAAGCACAAACTCTGCTCAAACCAGATTTGCCAAAAGCCTTCTTTTATCTAGTTTATTAGCTTTGCTGCTCACTTGCGGTATCGATCTCATTTGTAGCTTTAATGTACTCATTTCCAGTCATATAAATTACAAGCAATCTGCAATATTAGTCACTTTCCTCTATCATTTACATTTCCGAGCAACCTTGTCATTTACATATTGTTCTATCTCTCCATATAAGTAAAATCCTTATTTTTAAGACAAAAAAAGAACCTTGATTTGAGCAACTCTCATTCAAATGACACAATCTCTTGATTTGAAGTCAAAAGGCGCAACCTCAATCATTCAAATCCCGTCTACTAGCGGCATCTAGTAGTGGCACGCCCGCACCCACCAATCTCATATGTGAAGTAAATCCCCAGCTTGCCCGCGAGGCCCATGACGGATTTAGGGAGCAAACAAGTACTGCGACTATTGCATGCATAGCAAATTCACATGTTATAATACAACTTATGTCTATTTGTGTTTTGGACGGATTTGGAAAGGTTACAACTATAAGCATTCATGTAAGCATCTGGTTAAATAGTTAAAAATGTTTTGGGGGTTGTAGAAGCATTTTCTTAAGAAATACAAAGCCCCCTTTTAAGTTCTAATATGAATTTGAAACGTGCTTTCAATGAAAGCACTTTTAGAAAAAACACAATATGACCTGACATAATAATTAGGTATTAAATTCGTCATCCCAAATTTGAATCTAAGGTCACGCAAAGCACACCATGACCTGACATAATAATTTACAAATGAGAAAAATACCGAATACCCCACTACAGTGTTAACATATTAACTTGGAAAAAAATTTCAATGTGCCAGAAATACAGTATGGTGCAATAATTGTCATAATACAAGCGATTGGAGATATAAATTTTTTTTTAACCGCTTGTATTATGACACTTGGATTGGAGTATCGCATTATGTTTTTGGAACTGGAAAGTCCCTCGACAGCATGAAAGAGTGGTGCGTTGCACCTCGGCCGCCTTGGCTACTTGGTGAATGAACCGCCAAAAATATGAGTTACTCAGCGACAACGGTTACATTGAACTCAGCATTCCCGCGAAATTCAAATCCAAAAGCCAAGGATTCTCAAAACCGGAGAGAAACAATCTCTCTAATACAAAAATGCAAACACATTCATCAGATTCCACCAATCCACGCAAAAATCATAAGAAATTTCCAAGACCAAGACCCATTCGTCGTCTTCGAGCTTCTTCGCCTCTGCTCCAACCTCAACTCAATCGACTACGCCACCACGATTTTCCAACAAGTTCAAACCCCAAATGTCTACCTCTACACTGCTCTCATTGATGGGTTCGTGTCATCTGGGTTTTACCTCGATGCGATTCGGGTTTACTGTCGAATGGTTAACGGGTTTGTTTCGCCGGATAACTACGCGGTAACTTCTGTGTTAAAAGCTTGTGGCTTTGGGTTGGCGTTGGAGGAGGGGAGAGGAGTCCATACGCAGGTTTTGAAGCTTGGGTTGACATCGAATCGATCGGTGAGGATGAAGCTTCTGGCTCTCTATGGGAAGTGTGGTGAATTTGAGTGTGCACGGAGGGTGTTCGATGAAATGCCTGATAGGGATGTCGTTGCGTCAACGGTGATGATCACTTCTTATGCTGATTATGGGTTGATTGAGGAGGCGATTGGTGTTTTTAACCGGGCTAGGAGTAAGGATACCGTTTGTTGGACTGCTATGATCGATGGGTTGGTTAAGAATGGGGAGATGAATAGGGCTTTGGAGGCGTTTAGGGAGATGCAGAGGAATAATGTGAGGCCTAATGAAGTTACTGTTGTTTGTGTTTTATCTGCTTGTTCTTATTTGGGAGCGTTGGAGCTTGGAAGATGGGTTCACTCTTACATAGATAAGTATGACATCGAATTCAATTACATTGTAGGTGGTGCTCTGATTAATATGTACTCTAGGTGTGGCGATATTGATGAGGCACTGGCAGTGTTTGGTAAGATGAAAGAGAGAGATGTGAGTAGTTATAATTCCATGATTGAGGGGCTTGCTATGCATGGGAAGAGCATGGAGGCTATCCAAATGTTCCAGACAATGATAAAACAAGGACTAAGGCCAAATAGCATTACTTTTGTTAGAGTATTGAATGCATGTAGTCATGGAGGTTTGTCGGGTTTGGGTTTTGAGATATTTCATTCCATGACTAATATTCACGGCATTCAACCACAGATAGAACACTATGGATGCATGGTTGATCTTCTAGGTCGCTCTGGTCAGCTTGAAGAAGCTTACAATTTCATTGCAAGAATGAAAATGGCACCGGATCATATCATGGTGGGGGCTTTGCTAAGTGCTTGTAAAATCCATGGGAACCTTGAATTAGGAGAAAGGGTAGCCGAAATCTTGGTGAATTGTGGTAATGCAGATTCAGGAACTTACGTACTGCTATCAAATGTATATGCTTCATCAGGGAGGTGGAAAGAGGCTGCACAAGTGAGAGCAAAGATGAAGGAAGGTGGAACCCCAAAGGAGCCTGGTTGTAGCTTGATTGAAGTAAACAATGAGATCCATGAGTTCCTCTTGGGAGACCTCAGACACCCAAAGAGAGAGGAAATCTACAAAAAGTTAACGGAGCTAATCGATGAACTGAAATCAGAAGGATACTTGCCTGCAACAGAGGCGGTTTTGCATGATATTGAAGATACACAAAAGGAATTGGCTCTGTCGATACATAGCGAGAGGCTCGCCATATGCTACGGGCTAATTGCTACAAAACGAGGTACGACTTTGAGGATTGTAAATAACTTAAGGGTTTGCAGTGACTGCCACTCAATGATCAAATTGATAGCTAAGATCACCAACAGAAAGATTGTCGTTAGGGATCGCAATAGGTTCCACCATTTTGAGAGTGGGGTTTGTTCTTGTGCTGATTATTGGTGAAAAAGAAAACTTCATACTAACAGCAAGTATATATATTGTTTCTTTACCCTTATTTTCAATTATTTTATTTTATGAATCTCCGATAACAAGAAAATACAACGATAACGTTTGAAAGGTCAATTATGAATCTCCCACTTTTGCAGTTTGCACCCAGGTCCGAATCTCTCTTTCTTGAAGTTTAGTTGAATTGTGTAAATCACTAAATGTTACAGTTTTGTTAATCTACTGATTTTTTTTGTCAAATTACATTCCTTAAAAATCGTCACAGTGCAAAGCTGTGCCATTACACACATGCTTCGGTTTTTTTATACACCATGGCCGTCTCAGCACAAAACCTACTTTTCTTTCTATCGACATTCCCAGCAGCCCTAATCAAACCTTCAGAACCCACAGCAGCCCTAATGAAAAGCCAGAAACAGAGCTGGACATGAGACTTCTTCCTCAATTCACTTTGTAATCGTTTCCGTAATTTTGCACTTATGAGTGGAACCATTAATATTAGAAATCACCCCACAAAGATCATCTCTGCTAAAATTGCTAAAATATGAGATCATTTAGTCATCAAACCTATATAAAAGAAGTAGAGAGTGGAGGTGGATGGGAAAGGGGGAAGAAGAGCTAGAAAAGGTGGGAAGGATGGAGGAAAGAAGGGGAATAGGGAAGATGCAGAGGGTGAAGAAGGAAGAGAAAAGGGGAAGGAAGACTAGAAAGAGGGGGAGTTGGGCTGCCACCAATGTCTAAAATATCGATGATATCGGAAATATCGGTAGTCCAAAAACACATAAATTTCGATGAAAATATCGGGATATTATCGATATCGATAAAAATTGAATAAAAACCACGGAAATTGTAAGCAAAACTTGGAAATTTTTATTGAAACTTTGCAGGATGTTTATTTAGTCAATTATCTATTAGTTTATCACAAAAAAATTGGAATGAAATGCATTGCATGATAGATTTAACTGATTTAAGTTGATTATATAGCGAGTTGACAAACATTGTGAGTATATGTAGTAATTAATGAAAGAAGTTTAAACACACCATAATCATTTATATATAATGAATTAGTACAATATTTTATACTTTATACATTGCATGGTAAGATACATGAGTAACTTAGTATCACATAGAGTTCCTATCAAGGTCTAAAATATTGGTAGTCCAAAAACACGGAAATTTTGATGAAAATATCGGGATAATATTGATATTTTAGACCAGCCGGAGCAAGGAGCTGCGGCTAGGAGAGTTTCTTTTAGCTTGAAGGCAGAGGGGAGGAAAGTTTAGAGAGAGGAGAGAAACCACGTTTTTGTTGTTAATGTTCACTTTTTGGATTGACTAATTGAATATCAAATATGTGTTGTACAATGTTATATAAATTTGCATACCCTATGCCTAGGAATGTCAATTTAACCTGTCAAACACCATCTTGAACGGTTCGGTTTTGGGGATTAATTTTCAAGTTTTTTACAGTTATGGGTAATCATTGGGTAAATTTGTTCGGTTTCGGTTTCGGTTATTGTTATTGGTGTATCTGTCCCAAACCCATACCCAAAACCGAACCGTTTTCATTTTTTAACAAAAAAATTATAATATGGAGAAACGAATTATCATTAATTATGCATTATTAAATGTGTTATCAATAATTATACATTATTAAATATGAATAGTCAATAGTTAATAGCCAGAATTTAGTACACATGCATGCATCATGGAGGGTGCATTAGAATTCAATATTTACAACTAAATGGAGCAGCATTTATTAGAAAACCAAAACCCTCAATCACTGGGTTCGTCTTTTTTATCCAACATTTCTCGTTACGTGTAATCCACAAGGATGAGAAAATTCAGTAGGTGATGAATCATACATATCCCAGATAACGGAAAAACAGGTAAAAAAACCCCAACCAACCTAACCCAACTCATCATAACGCAACTTACAAACACTAAGGACATCAACCATTAAAAATATATATATCATAATGGAAAAAATCATTACCCAATGATAAATCCGTTATCCAACGGGTTTAGTTATTGGGAAAACTCATTCGGGGATTCTTCGGTTTCAGGTTCGGGTATGGAGATGGCACATCCAAAACTGATCTGCCCTGTTGTCATCCCTACCCATGCCTCCTCTATTCTGGATCAACTAATTACCACGTTATTTCTACTAATCATAATCTCACTTTACTTTATTCCTTTTTACTTAAGGAAAAATAACAAGAAGTATTGATAATTACCAGATATAGGATCTATCCATATTATGATGATAGGTTTTTAAATCATTAGATTGTACGGTACCACCACGTGGCACCGATAGCTGGTAGTGTTGGACTTTTGGAGTGAAATTTTCCTTGTAACTCATTTGTCTTACATTGGTCAAGCTAAAACATTTTTCACTTTGTCATTCTTACCAAAAAAATTGGATAAATAGACTTAGAAATGAAATTTGGGCTTAAACCTTGGATGTGGGTTTGAGGTGTGATAAGAATATTAGCATACGCCTACACACAATGAACATTTTTTGTTTGTTTTTTTTTTGTTTTATTTGAATAAACGATATTATTTACACTAAGGGGGTATGTGAGTGAGCTAAGCCTCATAATGGACTACCAATAATGTGGTTAAATTTGTTTTTGGTGAGAATTAAACCTAAGATCTCTCACTTACAAGTGAAAAAGAATACTATGAGACCGTATTACTACGGTGTGGAGCAAAAAATAATCCCAAAAATCATTGAGCTAACACGTGGATTATTTCCCAAGAAAGACAAGGATGCCCCTATTAAATGAGCAAGGAGCAATCTCATTCACCATGCACAGCTGAGGTAGAGCATACAAAGATCAACGACTACTCAAGGCATCCCTACCCGTAAAAAAAGTCAAAGGTATTTATGATAGAATAATCCCTTGTTCTTATCATAAAAAGATTTAACATTCCACACAGGCACTTACACACAAAAAACAGTAGAACCTTGTGCTATTTACATGCAGAAATGATAAAGTTTGTCAAACTAGTTACCTCACGTCACTTCCCTTACGAAAAACGAGTTTTTATCAATAATAGCCAAAATTTAACATTTAATTTCATAAATGTCATATTTTATAAAATCTTTCAAATATAACAGAAAACTTACTTAAATAAACTTAAATACCCTCAAAATTAAAACCAAATAAAAATTAGTGGCAAAACTCTCACCCCACAACTATATATACAAGCAGCAACATTGCTGAACTTCCCAATCATTTTCATGTTTAAAAATTTAGAACTTTCTGCACATGGATTAATATTTTTAACCCCATTGTTGAGAGCAGCATTTTCGCACACCCTCACTCCATTATTTAGTTTTGATTGGTTTGTGAGATCCGGTACAATCTTGAACTTGCTAATAGGGGTTATAGATTAATTATATTTGCGGGGAAGAGAAGCACGAATTTAATTGGAATGATCCTCTTGTGAAAACTGTTATGGTTTTAAATCCCTGTCATCCATCAAATTTAAGGCAAATTCGTAAGCACAATCGGATTGGAATTTGGTTTCAATGAGTTAGAATCCTCAACTAATATCATGTCTCCTAAAATGACTGTACAAATAATATTTTGCCGTGACGATATTGTATCAACAGCAACGATTAAGTTTGAGTTTCAGACATGACCAACAAATTTTCAAGTCGGTGCTCAATTAGTTGACAGTTGGACAACACCCGCAACCGCTCCACGACATTTACCAACGGTCCTCGTGGCCTCGCACTTTGAACAACGATGTAGAGGAGATCTATTCAAGTGCTTTGGCTTTTATGTGTAAATATGTTTTGGGATTTTGAGGGTATTTAAGTCTATTTACATGAGTTTTTTGCTATATTTGAAAGTTTTTATAAAATGTGATATTTATGTAATAAGGTGTCAAATTTTGACTATTATTGATAAATACTCTACGAAAAATATAAATTGGTGTATATCCTTGAAAGTGATTCCTCAACATTATGAGCAAGCATAATTAATAATAGCAAATACAGGAAGACAAGACATTGGTATATTAAGCAAGCTTGAGAGGTAAGTAAATGAACAACAATGTTGCATTGAAGAATACAATGTGAAGGAGGGGAGGAAAAGAGAGTGAAATAGAAAGGGAGAGAATCTTAATCGGACAGGTCAAGAAATTGACCCTTTCGTGCCCCACAGGGGAATTCTAGTAGCTTTACTGTGCAGGATGAAAAATAAAAGAGAAAAAGAACAGCAAAACAAGGCAAAAAGGTCAAAATACTGTGGAATGAACAGTATTGTAGCACAAAAAAGGGATTAGTCTATAATTAATTTTTCTAAGATGTATATTTTTTGTATAATTTCGATGTCCTGTTGGGAAAATCAATTACTAGCTAACTTTATAAAACACAAGAAAGTAAGATTTCTACGCACAATGTCAAACCGTGATTAGCATGCAAGTAGACATGGCTGCGTCCAAGCGAATGAACCAAGTATTTTCCTTCGAGTTATTCAACACTTTCAGGCTCCGACTATGCAAGGCCTAATACGCTCTAGCCATTCTACCAATTCCGATGCTGACAACGACTTCTGCACCTGTGTAAAAGAGAATGGCATCTCCGGACACCAGGAACCTTGTCCTTGCATAACTGTATTTCGCTTTCATACCTTCGAGTTACTGAATAACAGCCACCACCACAACATACTAATGCAGGAGGTCATCCCACATTACTGGAGAGAACTTTTCTGTTTAACCAATGAAAAATGTACAGAAAATGATACAGAACCTAGCAATAAGGCTCGCTGTCTCTTCCTTCGTCTACTAGACTGTCTAAAAGGCGTACCAAATTCCGGCTTTTTCATGGGCACAATAGGAGATATAAGTTTTACTGTTATAACTAAGAATGTTATAAATTCTCTCTATCCTTGTCTTCAATCTGTTTTACATTCTTAACTATGTCTTGAACACTTTTAGTAAGGCGGTCTGCATGTTGGTCTACCTCTTTCAGGACCATTTCAAGTGTTTTTCTACACCCTGCTAACTGTTGGTTCGCTCGATAAAGCTCTGCAGATAGCTCACGAATTTTCTTATCTTTCTCGTCCTGCACATACATGATATATATTATTTCATAAATGTATAATATTGCAGAACTCAGAAATTCGAAATCAATCAAAGGTCTATTTGTGACACTACTATTTCACAAGCTTCCCAGGAAAATATGATTCCATTCATTCATCAAAGAACTCACACTGTGTCTATTAGAGCAACTGACCTGTGATGGAGCCGGAATGGTGACTCTCTTGCCTCTAGAAATCCACATAGGATGACAATGTTTTGTTTCAAGCTTTGTAACAACCCACTTCCCGGACTTCTCTTTCCTTGCCATAATCATTGCCTTGCAGCCCTCCCTAGTTTCCTCCCTCGGCCTCCTTACTTCGCCCCTTTTTGACTGCTTATTGTCACGAAAACCTTCTTTGTTACAAAGAAACTTACGACTGTTAATGGATCCATCACGATTTGAACGATGGAAATTACCAACACGGATTCTAAAACCCACACGCGTGGCATATGCATCATAGTATTCCTTGATAGCCTCTTCAGAGTCAAACTCCATACCAACATAAGGTTCTAGAATACCATCTACTTCATTTTCATTCAAGTCCGTCACATTATTTGAGTCTAGCCTTTCTCCACTTTCAGCGTTCGGAATATCCCTTTCAACTGGACTCTCCACGACCAGCCTGTTCAAATCCGCTTCAGATTCCATCGGAGTAGGATCTGCAGCCATTCTGTAATTCTCACTTCCATAAGCTGTGAAGTTCACAACATCGTACAAATATAAACTACATTTACAGAACCAATGCAAGTAAATGGATGTGATACACGTTCGTAATGCAAAATCAAAGCAAACGATAGGGAAATCGAATGGAAAATTCCAAAAATCAAATAGGAAAACGAGAATTGAACACAAAAACAAATTAATCATCTTCACAAGTATCCATTTATAGGGAATATGTTTTCCTCTGCATTGCTTTTCTCCCAAAAAATTCATGCACGCGAGTGTCGGCTTTTGCTAGTCATATGATAGGCAATAAGTCCAGTGTTTGGATAATATGAAATTGAAAACGAACGTGTTGGGGCCATTTGTATGCAGATAAGTTATCCACAAAAAAAAAAAAAAAAAAAAAAAAAAGTAAATTTCGTTTCAAATACGCGATTTTCATGAATTTCAATTTGCACAAATCAGAATCCTAAATGACAATGCAGATGCTTCAGACTTCTGCCAAGAATAAAACTTTAACATCCAATGACTCGAAGCCAACAAATTTAGGAGGAAGAAAAAGGGTCCAAAATACTAACCCGCCAAAATTAACAGCATCATATATTAAGCAATCAAAGCCCAGATTAAACAAAAAACAAAAAGTGCAGAAATTTAACTAATTTTCCCAAAAAATATTCCAGTAGATGCTAACACTGCATCACAGGCTTAATTTAATCCAATTTTCTGCATAACCCTAGCCCACGCATAATCAAAAGGAAGGGCCTTTAATCCCCAATTATCATTTGTAATTAAAAGATTATCTTTTTTAATTGAAAAATTAGTATATTTAGTTGTATAAGCTCATTTCTCAAAAGCCAGATAGAAACTTACTTGCTTCCTTCCGCCAGTGATTGCATTCACGCCCGTCTCTGACCTTCTGCCTCCAACTTTGGGAGAAGAAATTTGTAAAAACCCAGTTTCTCTTGATCTACATACATATTTTAACGGCTCTGATGTAATGTGCGGTGGGACCCTCTTGACACTTATTAGTCATGGACCCGGTTTGAAGACTACGGCCCAACTTTGGCGCAGCCCAAATAAAGTTTGAACCTTGGAGAATGGCGAGTAAACCCCATCAAACGTTCCAACGCGAGCTGAAGAGCCTGTGGCGATCTGCTAGGGTTTTAGGCTTTCCGCCATAGTTGCAAAAACCCCACTCCGGTTTGGTTTGGGGACGCAATGGAGGGGCTGAGCGTTTCGGATGCCAATTTGGTTGTGTATTTGCATCCGTCGACGAGCAACAATGTCCACAAAGCAATCCTGCGCGAGCTCAGCTCGATGCTTTTGAGGTACTTTCTCAGCAACCTTTCTTCGATGTTTCTAATTTTTTATATTTTTGAGGATTTGTAAGCTTGACACTGTTTGTATGATTGGTTTCAATGTTGCCCGCGTAAGGATTGCTCGTAAAGGTTCTTGTTTTTTTTGTTGGCTGAGTCAACTGAGTTGAATTTCGGGAAAAAGCATGAGCATTTCGGAGGCTATGTTGCGAAACACCGGGTTACTTTGTTCGGTGTTTTGAAGAGAGATGTTTGCTACCGATTTTTTTGTAACTTCTGAATGTTCCCACAATGTATGCCTCTGTTTGGACTCTGCCTTGCAACAAACATGAGTTTTTTGGAGACTATGTTTGTAAAATACCGATTATGTAGTCAGAATTTCGAACAGAAGCAGACAATTTTCCCCATTTAATTGTAATTTCTGAATGTTCCTGCAATGCCTTGCAACAAATAAGTAATTTTCTTAAGAAAGACTGCAAATGGGAGCTGATTTGTCAGAGTTAAGGAATGATATCTTCATGCAGTGTGTTCGGATTTGTTTTTACGGTCTCCAAATTCATTAGTTGGCTACTCTGTATTGTTCAAGTGCTGAGGGCGTTTGTAGCCCTCGTTGGAATAATATTCCATTTTTTCACATGTTTGTGTAATTATGAGAATCATAGTTAAGAGTCTTTGTGATGTGGTAACAACTTTGGTATTTAATTTTCTGTCTCTGGTTTCTCATGCAGGTACAATGATACATTTGAGGGTATTGTATTGGCTTATGAATTCAACATTTTAGATAAGGACGCAAAGATTCTTCCCGGAGTTCATCCTTATTTTACTGTCAGACTAAAAGCAAAGTTATTACTTTATTCTCCAAAGCCCGATATGCTTGTAGGTAGTATTCTCGTTCTATGTTAACTAATGAAGTAACATACATACGAATTTTATACCTTGCGAGAATACTATGCTCAAAGTTGGATTTATTTTGTTATAAAAAATGCATCCTGTTATCAAATGATACACTTCTTTAATGGTGATCCTGCTGCTTGTTATGTGATGTTCTGCCACTGCAGAAGGAAAGGTTGTGAAAGTCACACAAGAATCAATTCATGTCATTATCCTTGGCTTCTCGTCTGCTGTCATAACAGACAGAGATATTCGCGAGGAATTTCAATATAAATCTGTAAGTGCTTTCTTCATCATTGTGTTTCAGCGTTCATATCCTTAATATTTCCCATTATTAATTCATCCTTCTTCTGGTGCACCATTGTTCTGATAGAAACATGGCAAGCAATTATTTGTTAGCAGATCTCACAAGCGGCATGTAATAAAAGTTGGAACGATGATACGACTATTAGTCAAAAGGTGACCTTTGATTATAATTACCTTCTTGTGATTTGAAAGAAAACTGAAATTTGGTAGCAGCAATGCTGAAGAGACTGCATTTTTAGACCACATGAAATGTAGCACTGGCAGGTGATCAGTCAACTACCAACCGGTCATAATGGTTGATGTCATAAGTTAACCCCACCTGCCACAGAATGTGGTCTGAAAAAATGGTCACTCTAGCATTGCTCTTCGTGGTTTAGTCCTTGCGGTTTTTCTTTTCTTTATTTAACTGAGGAATGGTGTTCTCGTTCACTTAGTGGAATAGTGTGGATTACGGTTTTAAAGCCAGGTTGTAACACATTCTAAAGTGTACTCCAAAAAGTCACAACTCACAATCATTTTCGAGATTTGTGAATTAGATGCTTGAGTCACGAAATAGTGATGAGGGAGAGAGGTAGCATGCTTGCTTAAGTGTTCATATTGTGGGGATTCTGCATATCTTGTAAACTAAAAATGTCTGGTTGACTATATTTTCGTGCGCTATATATGTGGTTAGGTACTCATTTGCTCACGTTGTAGATTCTCAACTAAGTGATAGATTTATTGTACTTCGCCTTTTCAAAAAAAAAAATGTGTTATTATACTTGTGCACTTTCATAACATTGATGTTTGCAGTGTGGATGAGGAAACACTGTACATTTATGGTTCCTTGCTTCCAGCTCACACAGGAAACATTATCTGGTTGGATAAACAAACTGAAGATACTTCGCTAACAGATGGGTACTTCTCTGACCTTGGAATTTAACTTGAAAGAGTCTGCATTTAACAGTATATAATCCATTTTGAGAAAGGAAAAAAGTAGATTCTGCATTGTAATTGTTGAAAGAATTTGCAGGAGTGCTAAGAGGAGGAAAGGAAACGATGGAGAATCAGTTATGCAAGAGCCTAGTAGAACCAGTGTTGAAACAGTTTCAGTCAATAATGACCATCATGTCAAGAAGTCGAAGAAACACAAAACACAATAAGAGTCGTGAAGACTGCTGTCCGGTCTTTACATGATTTTCGTTTTCAGGTGATTATTTTATTACCAATAGAATCATGTTATGTTTCTGAACTCGACAAAGGCATGTGAGCAAATTAGTCGATCTAGAATAGAGGAGGCAGGGGGGCATGCAAGCAAATTACTCCAATTATTAATGAAGAAAGAGGTTCATCTCTCGTTCTCAACTTATTGGGAGCTTTTTATTAGGTTTATTTGAAAATCTTATGTCTGCTTGCCGGGATATTACCACAAACGCTGGTACAAGATTCTTGGAGGAGAAAACATCTTGGTATTTTGGTTTCAGAACTTTGAAAGTCGTGCTGTGTTATGTTTTTGTAGGTGATGGTAAATTATCAATCTCTGAGGTTATGTATTGTCGTCGTCTACTTTGTTGTCATTCTTCATGAAATCGCTTTCTAGTTAAAAGTTTTCGATTAGACATGCAACAAGCTTAGTTCATCATTTGTCCGGCAAGTCCTATGAGACTATTTTCAAGCACGATGAATAGCTCGTCGAGCTGTTCTAGCTCTTGATTCATTTCTTTGCTCACTTTATGAACTAAGTGAACTTCAGCATTGAAAGGTAGATTCTTGTTTCGTGCATGGGTGGCTGTCAGTAGATTTGTTGAAGTACAAAACGAGAAACATCAAAGTGAATCTCTTTCAAATCCAAACCCTATAAACTAAAGTGAAAGCCATACAACGTTTACAGCCCAAATCAAACCATCAACCTCACCGCGTCCACCATAACCGTGTAAAAACTCCCATCTCCGAACGGATCTCCACCATTAAGCATCTCCTACTGATTTCCACCACCTCGATCCGACTAGCCTTGGCCACCCTCCCCACAACCGGAGCTTGACCAACCCTCACGTCATCTTCCTCTTCCTCCACTGTGAGAAGAACACCGTCAATCTATGCCTCCACATTGGTGGCAACAATCAACTTCGGCTGTATTCCTTTGTCAAGACTGCAAGCGACACCGATGGTTACGACGACGGCGGTTCATCGGACCATGATGGCCAGTAGGTTCTTAAAGTCATCTCCAATGACGAAAAGATAGATTTGAATGATTGTAAAATATGTTCGCTGACTGGGCAAGGGTCTCTAAGTGTAGAGTAAAGTAAAAGTCCCAAAATTTGAACGACCAGTTTATCAATTCTGTTGGAGCTTACAAACCTACGTGCCTCTTCAAATTTAGCAAAAACTAAGTTTTATGGGCTCTATCGGACTACGTGGTACTCCTGTACTATACTATAATTTCTCCTCTTGAAGATACTCTGAGTGCATTACTGTATGCCATCGTACTGCTACGCAAAAACAACATGAGATTTACATAGCCCAACTTTATTTTTTTAGATAAAATGAAATTTTATTAACAACGATCAAGAACTTACATTGAATAGGCATGTCAAACGGGATCCTAAGACCATCTCCAATTTTTTGGTTAAAACCTAAAAACCTAGAAACAGTTTTTTGCTCCAACCCTTCTGGGTTAAATTTTTAGTCTGAAATTATTAAAGAATAAATTTTTTGATAATTTTTATTTTTATTTTAGAAAAAGAATGATGTAGACTATCCTAATTTAATTTTATGAATATTTTAACCTAAAAATATTTATATTTCGATAAATATTGAAAAATCACTAAACTGATACCACGAAACTCGGGGAATACTATGAAAGAATATGAAACACAAGAAAGATATTTTTTTTAATTATTTTAGCCATTGGATTTATATTTTGACCATTAGATCATTTTTTTAGTTGTTGGATTCAATGAATTTATAAAGATAAAACCAAAAAAGATACACTTACATGGTCCCAGGGAGAATTATGAGCTCAATTTGCCCTAGAAATGAGTTTTGGATTAAAAACTCATATTTGGCCCAAGGGTTGGAGCAAGTTTGGTAAGTTTAGAACCTAAAATTTGAGTTTTACTCCAAATATTGGAGTAGGTCTAAGAGCAAACCTTACTCAGGAAGAATTCAAATGGGATACCAAACACGCCACAATTTTACAAATTTTAAAAGAATTCTTTTTATTAAAGGGAGGGGGTGAGGGTTCGGAAATATTATAATAATTAAGAGCGAGTGAGTCTGGAACTCAGAACTTATAGGTAGAAACCTAACACCATATTTATTAGAATATTGATCACATGTAAAGAATTACAGTACAATTCCGTCGCCATGGATGACTTGCGTTCAAATAACATGAAAGAACACTCACTAAGATTAAACCTTGCAAGTTTGGATAACCACTGCAAAGGCACCATAAGGAAGGTCGGCACCACCCTCGAATGATCTTAAAGTGTTAGCAAAAACACACATGCATAAGTCACCTCCAATACATGATTTTCTTTTTTCATTTATTTTTTTATTTTTAGCTTCCTACTAATAGTCTACTTTCAAGAGTACAAACCACAAAAAAATACAAGAGTCTCATGGACAGAGGGAACTACCGTGACCATGAAAGCTATCTTCATTAGAACGAAAAAGCAACCACAACCGATACAAGAAGATACTTGGAAAATAAGATAAGCAAAGACAAGAGAAAGAAAGATATTAAGAAAGATTGTCTCCAACACCAGACAAGGATCGGCAATGAAGAATTTTCTCTCTATAGGCTAGGGATGGATGGCCACCTGATGAACCAATGATTCTAGGTCCTCGTCCGTAAGACTCTGCAGTGTAAACTATCAATCATTAGGAATGGATGGTAGAATCAAGATTAATTTGTTGACTTATGTTCCATTAACCTATTAAAACATAAAACTATATAATCTTTTTTGAAAAGGAGACCAGTTGGTCGCTTCGTCACGGTAGTTCACTCTTTCAAGTCTGGGAAGACTCACAGAGGCATTTTAGCCTCCCCCAACTACCATCATGTGACTCACTAACACTAAAATCGAAATTAGAACATGTCAATGACTACTTATCGACTTAAAAGTTAATTTTACCTTCTTTGTCTCAGCCAATGACTTGAAACGTCCAAACACCTCCTCAAATGTCTTATCGTCCATATCATGACCAAGCTGGTTGACAAAACCAAATAATCCAAATAATTTGTAATTACTGAAGAAAAAAAACATTTTTATCAAATAATATCTCAAAGTTCATACAAAAAAGATACTAAAAAGAATTTAATTCCTGCCAGAGACGAGACTTCAAAGCATGACGGCCACTAATAAGAAAAAAAGAAAAGAAAGCGAGATGTTTAAACGCTACTGTGATACTCATGAGGTGGACGAAAGTATTATCTTTTATCGCTAACCTGTGCTTTCCTAGGACTCTCAATTAAATGTTTTTATATTTTTAAAAGTGAAGTAATTTCGTTTTGCATGAAAAATATAAAAAAAGAAAAAATTGTGACTGCATAATTTTTTATTAACGATCCGTGTGCGTTGATCCCTAAGATCCCTAGCGAGAAGGTCCGGTGAGGATCCAATTCCCTTTTGAAAATGCAATATGCCCTTTAAATTGTAAACTAATCCATATAAATATGCACCTGCAAATTTCTAGAAAATCATTTGATATGATTGCAAGAGTATTTTTTTTTTTTGGACAATAGTACAGCTTATGTAAACTTGCAAGCATAAAATATGGAAATAGATATTCTCCGGATCTCTCCCTCCTAAATTCAGGGATCAATTAATCTAAGCTTTTGAAATTTGATCAAACGGTTACGCCTTCCCTTCTTTTTTTCCCTCCCCTTCCATCCCCTCCTATTTGAACAGTCACGGTTAAGCCACGTTAATATCTTATATTAATTTTTTATAACAAGAGAATAACAAATAAAAGAACATGAGAGGAGGGGATGAAAGGGAAAGGAAAGAGGGGAAGAGAGAATCCTAGTCCTTTAAACAGAAGCCATAGATACAATTAAGAGATCCTAGCAGGGATGAGGACAGATCCTTCTTATGAAAATCTTAGGAATCCTCATATCTAACTGTTTATCATATATTATGCGATTAGATTTTGTTAGATACAGTTTGTGTATAATTTTAAATAAAAAAATTTCAAAATGATTTATGACCGTACGATGTACGATAAACGGATTGGATGTGAGAATCGCTATGATTCCTAACAAAATCCTCTCCGAATCCTTTTGGTAAGGAGCTTGGGGATTCGTGAATCGTGTACGTTCATCGTATATTGTGCGGTCAGTTTTTGTTAGGTATTGTTTGTATTTAATTTTAAATAAAAATATTTAAAATGATTTCTGACTGCACGATATACGATGAACGGACATGATTTACGAATCTTCGGAATCCTCATAAGGAGAATCTAGAGAGTATTCGAATTCCTATAATTCTCACAAAGAGAATCCGAATAGAATCCAAATCCCGCTAGGAAAGCCTTTGTGCGTTTCAAAGGAAAAATGTGGTGGGTGATTTCTTTCAAAAAGCCATGAATACATAGAGATCCTCAAGCTAGAGATACTCTTCTCCATGTTTGAAGTCAGGGGTTCCTTCCATGTCGTGATATTTTTTTTCTTTTAAATTTTGACCTTATCTTAACTTGAATTCATTTTAATCCTTTTTTATATTGAGAATTTGTTTTAATCCTTTTTTTTTTGTTAAGGGTAATGTCATTACCAACAAAGCAAGATTACATGAAAGGAAGTCCAAAAACAAAAGCAAGCACAAGAGAAAAGAAAAGACCTTCTAAACAAACAGGAGTTTGGGCCAAAACAGAAATTGGAACCCAAAACAAGAAAAAACAAAAGACAAAGAACTTCTTCAATCTTCCTGCAATCGCCACTGCCAGAAACAAATGAAACAAAGAAGAGACCGAAGCCTCAATGGGAGATCTGTAGAATATGGTATTGTAGCATCCAACCGGAACTAGCAACATGCGTAATCTTCAAGCGATCAAATGATGAGTTAAACATGACTCTTGAAAGGTCCGACCCACCATTGTAGATGTGAAATCCACAAATGTACAAATGAGTAAGAGGGTCACCAGCAGCAAACTAAAACAAGAAGACATCAAAAGCATTAAGCCCAAAAGTAAAAACATCTGAAAAAACCTTAATCCCCAACAAATAGAAACAATCCCATGCCTTTTGTCTCTGGCCAGCAACCACCAGAAAAGCCACCATGGAGGATCCAAAACTAGAGTGGGTGAAAAGACCAAGGCACAGCAAAATCAACCCAAAAATGGCAAGCATATACAAAGAAAAAATCAAATCTTAAAGTATACAGATCGAAATTGCAGATCGGGTCCAAAACTTTAAGATCTAATTTTTGGGAGAATGAAGATGGTGGGGAAAAAATGGTTGAAATGGACTGATGTGCAGGATGGCGATGGAAATATAGAAGGGGTAAGGTTGAGGAAAAGGGGCTACAAGATGGGGACTAAGGTATGAAAAGCACATAGAAAGTAAAAAGAATAATTCTAAGCCTCCGACTTTCAAAACGGCAATCGGATGGGGAAATTAAAGAAACGGGAGGGATGGTGAGAAATTGAAACTGTTAAAATTCACTCACAAAAGGAGAGATAGATCCCCATAAGTGGAGGGAAGAGCTCTCGCAGAGGAGAGAAAAACTTTTCCTCAATAAGGTAGCTTATTTCTTTTTTCTTTATTTTGGGTTTTAATCTTTGTTTGGGTTCCTAAATTTGGTGTGAGGCTATCTTATTTTTACTAATTGATTTCATTTGACTTAGTGGGATTTTGATATGTATCAGGAATTAGAAGAATGTCTTTCAATGTCTAATGAAAGTCCAAGAAGTGCTATGTTCTTTGGGTACATGTCCATGGATGGAGATTGCAAGATTGAAATAACTTCTATGGTATTTTTGTCTGTACCCAGGCAATGTTGTTAGATTACCGAGATGTGAAATTGAATGATTATTGATGAGTTGTTATTATACTATATATTTTACCCTAATTTTAGTATTATTTTATTGGTTATTTTATAAGAATTTTGATATTTTGAATTATATTTTTAATGTAAGACATTTGACTTCATCTTGAGCAAAAAGTGATCAAACGGATGAATTTTGAAGTGATTTCAGTTAGAGGATGTTGGCCCAGCGCTCAGCTTTCCCAGATTGACGTTTTTGGATGTTTAGGGTATTTTGAAGGTCAAGATGGCATATTTTGGGGAATATCCTTCTAAGGATTTTTTGGGAATGACTTAAGCTTTCAAAAGAAACCTTCTAGGGCCAAATCGGAGTTGATTTGGTTAGTCAAAAGTCTAATTTTTTTAGAAGTCTGAATTTTAGTTCAAATAGGAAACCTATTATTTACTAGTTTACTATTTTATTGTGTTTCCTAGTTTTATCCTAAGACCTTTTCTTGGTAGAATTTTATTTTGTAATAGTATAAATAAGGCTATTTAGCCATTAGGGTTAGAGAACGCATCAATTTGGAGAACTTAGCTAAGTTTTGACGATTTGTACTTTTCTTTCAAGGTGGTTTCTATACTTTTTATATTTTAATAAAATTCCTTTTGTTATGGTTGTTTGTTACTAATTTCCGTTTGATTAGGCAAGGCCACGAGCCATAACATGAATATGTAGTCTTTATTCAGCTGCTTATGATGTTATGCATGTATATTTTGAATTATTAATCACTGTGTTTAAACTGTCTTTATATCTTAATGCTTAGCTACCATTATGATGTTTAGATAAGTAATGGGATGCAATTCGGTCAGAATATCACTAGAGGATTGAGTATTGCTTCTTGTGGTTGATAATTGTAATTTCACTTTAGATGAATATTAAGCTCTTAGGGTGGCATGGTTTTTCAAAGGGTTTTTACAGAACTTAATGAGTCTTGCATGTTCATATTTGATCTGAATATCATAGACGAGTTGCATGTTAGATATACATTCTTGCTTGAATATCACCAGAAGAATATGCATTAGGAAAATCTAACCTTCAAAGTTGCATGTGTAATTCATAAGTACATGGGATTGTTAAGGTGACGACGAAACCTGACACACCCCACCGAGATCAAGGCATGATGGTCGTCGCGTTAAGGTGACGTAGCCATGTGCACAGTGCGGAAGCGATAAAGATAGCAACTATACGAATAATTAAAAACCAGATTACTAGAGTGCACTACTAAACGAAAGTGATAGGAGTTAGTTACAACAGTGAACCCTCCTAATCAGAGCATAAAGTCTAGGTGCAGTCCAGTAGGACAAGTACTAGTTACATAGTACCAGGAATGTCCTACTTCAAATAGGTCAGAACTGCCGATGATCCCGAGCCACCGACAGCAAGCTTACTTAAAACCTAGAGGGGCACGAAACAGAAAACGTGAGTGGGCAAAAACAAATGTTTTACAAATTCATTTCATTTATCAATATTCTAACCCCTTGCTGTAAAACATGTATAATTTTCCCAGAATCAAGATATAAGCATATACATATATATATCTGAAATCATATCAATTCAGTTCTTGCTTCACATAATCATATTCATAGGTATATATGCCATGCCAAGATATAATAGAGTAAACAATTCAGGTAAGAACAATTTCATAGAAACGTGATATGTTAGCCGGAACTCCGGTGGTAGTCTGTACGGCTGAATTCATAGCTCAAACTCAATCTAGCCGGAGTCACTACTATAACCTATACGGCAATATATTGCATATAAGTCGGAACCACTGAAAAGGGTCGGTACGACAAGATTGGGTGAAATATAATTATGCTCAATTATATTCTCTCATAATAGCCGGGCGATAAATCGCTAGTCACCTACGAGTCGGAACCATAATAAGGTCTGTACGATAAGACTGTGCACTTAAGTTAGATCCAATATGAGCATATAGTGCGGGAGGTGACGTAAATAAACAGACCTGTACTTCATATCTCTGGCTAATTCACAATCACCATAGGTGCAGCTTTATGAGCTCAACATTACTTAATCACATATCACATATCACATCATCGATGATTCAACCAAACATGACTTACCTGAACTCACCTGTGCCTCCACATCACCATATATATATATATATATATATATATATATATATATATATATATATATATATATATATATATATATGCAACCATGCAATGCATATTCAAAATATACAAGCATTTGGCATATTATTTCAAAGCATACTTTCCTTAAAAATGCATTTATGGG